GTTCAGAATATCATGATGTCAGTCTATGATCGGATGGAAGCACAAACCAAATCACATCAGAGATCAGATCTGAATCACGGAAGGAAACCGATCAGCTGCTACAGTTCAACTCAAGCATTAAAGACTCTTTATTGTTATTATATGTCTACGATCACATTTTAAGTTCTTGTGTTTATTAATAGGGAAAGTGCAGAGACAGGAAATGTCTGTAAACTGAGAGTCTAATATTTCATCCTTTATCGAAAAGAAATGCATGAACTGAAAAAACGTGTTGAACGGATGTAAATGTTATATTACGTAAGTCATTTTTAATGAAGATATGAGAAGGACGTTCTGCATTCATACACTTATACCTTAAGTGTTCAAATGCATTTAGTAGCTGCAGTCAAACCAAAGTTTATTCAGACGCCTTCAACATTTCTCACATTATCACAGTTTATTCGCTATAGTTTAGAAAATGGTAATAAAATATGAGAACTCCGAGTTAGTCACTCTATGAAGAATATTTGGGTATAACATGTCCCAGTTTACTTTATTTTGCTCTCCTCACTTACATAAATGAACTATAGTGTCCTGATCACACACTAGTAAAAATGATCAAAAATTATATCTGGTGTCTGAATAATTTTTGGATTGACTGTATATTACAAATGGGTCTTTCCTGGGATTCGGTGCCTGTTGTGTCCCCAGTAAACATCATGATCTTACCGCCTTAAAATGTTGAATGATAACAATCAAGATCCTCGATTATTTTAACTGTCTATTTTCTTGCCAATTTTATCTTTTAAATTTGGTGTGGTCAACTTTAGTACGTCCACCCTGTTAAGGGAAATATTAAAAAATTTAGTAGGAAAATCATATTTTTAAAAGTACAGTTTAAAAAACATACAATTCTTTATATAATAAACCTTCTATGTTAGCTTTTTTTTGCTCAGACGTGGTGAGTTTAGATCAATTTAACCAGAGTGGTTTTAGATCACCTGTTAGTGTCCACCCTGTTACTCTACACCCTGTTAGTGTCCACCCTGTTACTCTACACACTGTTAGTGTCCACCCTGTTAGTGTCCACCCTGTTACTCAACACACTGTTAGTCTCCATCTGTTAGTGTCCACCCTGTTACTCTACACACTGTTAGTGTCCACCTGTTAGTGTCCACCCTGTTACTCTACACACTGTTAGTGTCCACCCTGTTACTCTACACACTGTTAGTGTCCACCTGTTAGTGTCCACCCTGTTACTCTACACACTGTTAGTCTCCATCTGTTAGTGTCCACCCTGTTACTCTACACACTGTTAGTCTCCATCTGTTAGTGTCCACCCTGTTACTCTACACACTGTTAGTGTCCACCTGTTAGTGTCCACCCTGTTACTCTACACACTGTTAGTGTCCACCTGTTAGTGTCCACCCTGTTACTCTACACACTGTTAGTGTCCACCTGTTAGTGTCCACCCTGTTACTCTACACACTGTTAGTGTCCACCCTGTTAGTGTCCACCCTATTACTCAACACACTGTTAGTCTCCATCTGTTAGTGTCCACCCTGTTACTCTACACACTGTTAGTGTCCACCTGTTAGTGTCCACCCTGTTACTCTACACACTGTTAGTTTCCACCTGTTAGTGTCCACCCTGTTACTCAACACACTGTTAGTGTCCACCTGTTAGTGTCCACCCTGTTACTCTACACACTGTTAGTGTCCACCTGTTAGTGTCCACCCGGTTACTCTACACACTGTTAGTGTCCACCTGTTAGTGTCCACCCTGTTACTCTACACACTGTTAGTGTCCACCTGTTAGTGTCCACCCTGTTACTCTACACACTGTTAGTGTCCACCTGTTAGTGTCCACCCTGTTACTCTACACACTGTTAGTGTCCACCTGTTAGTGTCCACCCTGTTACTCTACACACTGTTAGTGTCCACCTGTTAGTGTCCACCCTGTTACTCTACACACTGTTAGTGTCCACCTGTTAGTGTCCACCCTGTTACTCTACACACTGTTAGTGTCCACCTGTTAGTGTCCACCCTGTTACTCTACACACTGTTAGTGTCCACCTGTTAGTGTCCACCCTGTTACTCAACACACTGTTAGTGTCCACCTGTTAGTGTCCACCCTGTTACTCTACACACTGTTAGTGTCCACCTGTTAGTGTCCACCCTGTTACTCTACACACTGTTAGTGTCCACCTGTTAGTGTCCACCCTGTTACTCAACACACTGTTAGTGTCCACCTGTTAGTGTCCACCCTGTTACTCTACACACTGTTAGTGTCCACCCTGTTACTCTACACACTGTTAGTGTCCACCTGATAGTGTCCACCCTGTTACTCTACACACTGTTAGTGTCCACCTGTTAGTGTCCACCCTGTTACTCAACACACTGTTAGTGTCCACCTGTTAGTGTCCACCCTGTTACTCTACACACTGTTAGTGTCCACCCTGTTACTCTACACACTGTTAGTGTCCACCTGATAGTGTCCACCCTATTAGTGTCCACCTGTTAGTGTCCACCCTGTTACTCTACACACTGTTAGTGTCCACCCTGTTACTCTACACACTGTTAGTGTCCACCTGTTAGTGTCCACCCTATTAGTGTCCACCCTGTTAGTGTCCACCTGTTAGTGTCCACCCTGTTAGTGTCCACCTGTTAGTGTCCACCCTGTTACTCTACACACTGTTAGTGTCCACCCTGTTACTCTACACACTGTTAGTGTCCACCCTGTTACTCAACACACTGTTAGTCTCCATCTGTTAGTGTCCACCCTGTTACTCTACACACTGTTAGTGTCCACCTGTTAGTGTCCACCCTGTTACTCAACACACTGTTAGTGTCCACCTGTTAGTGTCCACCCTGTTACTCTACACACTGTTAGTGTCCACCCTGTTAGTGTCCACCCTGTTACTCTACACACTGTTAGTGTCCACCTGTTAGTGTCCACCTGTTAGTGTCCACCCTGTTACTCTACACACTGTTAGTGTCCACCCTGTTACTCTACACACTGTTAGTGTCCACCTGATAGTGTCCACCCTATTAGTGTCCACCTGTTAGTGTCCACCCTGTTACTCTACACACTGTTAGTGTCCACCCTGTTACTCTACACACTGTTAGTGTCCACCTGTTAGTGTCCACCCTATTAGTGTCCACCCTGTTAGTGTCCACCCTGTTACTCTACACCCTGTTAGTGTCCACCTGTTAGTGTCAACCCTGTTAGTGTCCACCTGTTAGTGTCCAGTGTGCAGTGTGTAGAGTAACAGGGTGGACACTAACAGTGTGTAGAGTAACAGGGTGGTTACTCTACACACTGTTAGTGTCCACCCTGTTACTCTACACACTGTTAGTGTCCACCCAGTTAGTGGCCACCTGTTAGTGTCCACCCTCTGTTAGTGTCCACCTGTTAGTGGAGGGTGGTGATGGCACAGTGGATAAGACACGTGCCTTTGGTGTGAGAGATCCGGGTTCGAATCCACTGCGAGACACCAATGTGTCCCTGAGGAAGACACTTAACCCCTAGTTGCTCCAGAGGCGTGCCACCTCTGACATATATAGCAATTGTAAGTCGCTTTGGATAAAAGCGTCAGCTAAATGAATAAATGTAAATTACTAAAATATAGTGTCCACCCTGTTACTGTACACACTGTACACACTGTCCACCCTGTTATTGTCCACTTGTTACTCTACACACTGTTAGTGTCCACCCTGTTACTCTACACACTGTTAGTGTCCACCCTGTTACTCTACACACTGTTAGTGTCCACCCTGTTACTCTACACACTGTCAGTGTCCACCCTGTTACTGTACACACTGTTAATGTCCACCTGTTACTGTACACACTGTTAGTGTCCCCCCTCTTAGTGTTCACACTGTTAGTGTCCACCCTGTTAGTGTCCACCCTGTTAGTGTCCACCTGTTAGCGTCCACCTGTTAGTGTCCACCTGTTAGTGTCCACCCTCTGTTAGTGTCCACCCTGTTACTGTACACACTGTTAGTGTCCACCCTGTTACTGTACACACTGTTAGTGTCCACCCTGTTAGTGTCCACACTGTTACTCTACACACTGTTAGTGTCCACCCTGTTACTCTACACCCTGTTAGTGTCCACCCTGTTAGTGTCCACCTGTTAGTGTCCACCCTGTTAGTGTCCACCTGTTACTCTACACACTGTTAGTGTCCACCCTGTTACTCTACACACTGTTAGTGTCCACACTGTCAGTGTCCACCCTGTTACTGTACACACTGTCAGTGTCCACCCTGTTACTGTACACACTGTTAGTGTCCCCCCTCTTAGTGTTCACACTGTTAGTGTCCACCCTGTTAGTGTCCACCTGTTAGTGTCCACCCTGTTACTGTCCACCCTGTTAGTGTCCACCCTGTTACTGTACACACTGTTAATGTCCACCTGTTACTGTACACTGTTAGTGTCCCCCTCTTAGTGTTCACACTGTTAGTGTCCACCCTGTTAGTGTCCACCGTGTTAGTGTCCACCCTGTTAGTGTCCACCTGTTACTCTACACACTGTTAGTGTCCACCCTGTTACTCTACACACTGTCAGTGTCCACCCTGTTACTGTACACACTGTTAGTGTCCCCCCTCTTAGTGTTCACACTGTTAGTGTCCACCCTGTTAGTGTCCACCTGTTAGTGTCCCACCTGTTAGTGTCCCACCTGTTAGTGTCCACCTGTTAGTGTCCCACCTGTTAGTGTCCACCTGTTAGTGTCCACCCTCTGTTAGTGTCCACCCTGTTACTGTACACACTGTTAGTGTCCACCCTGTTACTGTACACACTGTTAGTGTCCACCCTGTTAGTGTCCACCCTGTTACTCTACACACTCTTAGTGTCCACCCTGTTACTCTACACACTGTCAGTGTTCACCCTGTTACTGTACACACTGTTAGTGTCCACCCTGTTAGTGTCCCCCCTCTTAGTGTTCACACTGTTAGTATCTACCCTGTTAGTGTCCACCTGTTACTGTACACACTGTTAGTGTCCCCCCTGTTAGTGTCCACCTGTTAGTGTCCCACCTGTTAGTGTCCACCTGTTAGTGTCCACCTGTTAGTGTCCACCCTGTTAGTGTCCACCTGTTAGTGTCCACCCTGTTACTGTCCACCTGTTAGTGTCCACCTGTTAGTGTCCACCCTGCTACTGTACACATTTTTAGTGTCCACCCTGCTACTGTACACATTGTTAGTGTCCACCCTGTTAGTGTCCACCCTGTTAGTGTACACATTGTTAGTGTCCACCCTGTTAGTGTCCACCTGTTAGTGTACACCCTGTTACTGTCCACCTGTTAGTGTCCACCTTGTTACTGTACACATTGTTAGTGTCCCACCTGTTAGTGTCCACCTGTTAGTGTCCACCTGTTAGTGTCCACCTTGTTACTGTACACATTGTTAGTGTCCCACCTGTTACTGTCCACCTGTTAGTGTCCACCTGTTAGTGTCCACCTGTTAGTGTCCACCTTGTTACTGTACACATTGTTAGTGTCCCACCTGTTACTGTCCACCTGTTAGTGTCCACCTGTTAGTGTCCACCCTGTTACTGTCCACCTGTTAGTGTCCACCTTGTTACTGTACACATTGTTAGTGTCCCACCTGTTAGTGTCCACCTGTTAGTGTCCACCTTGTTACTGTACACATTGTTAGTGTCCCACCTGTTAGTGTCCACCCTGTTACTGTACACATTGTTATTGTCCACCCTGTTAGTTTCCACCCTGTTAGTATCCCCCTCTTAGTGTTCACCCTGTTAGTGTCCACCTGTTAGTGTCTACCCTGTTAGTGTTCACCTATTAGTGTTCACCCTGTTAGTGTCCTCCTGTTAAATCTGAAGAGTTATAAGAGTAGACACTGAGAGTGTGCATATAATGATTGTGAAAGTAATCTGTTTAAAGTTGAAGTAGTGCACTGACTGTAAAGTTCGCTGGCAATGTTTTACATAGTTTCCCATCTAAACCCAGTTCAAAATAAAATAAAATAATAACTGATTGCGTGATAGGAAATCATTCATCCATCCATTCTTTATACTACTTGTCCACCTTGTTGTTATTGTATCCAGCCTTTTATCAGTTTGTCCACCATGCTATTATTTCGCCCACTCTGTTATTATTTTGTCCAACCTGTTAAGCAGTTTTGTTTTAACAATAATTTCATAAAATCAGCAAAAAAAAAAAAACCTAATAATTCAGTGACAATGAAAATTGTTGAGTATCAATTGTGTAGTACTTTAATAAGTAAACAAAAATGCATTTTAGGCATTTTTATCTGTCCCTAACATGGTGGATATTTTTTATCTTCCTTTTCCTTTTTGTTTAATTTACCAGAGCTTGACCAGAATATTTTTTCAATTGTTTTACATCAGCCCATCACGTCTACACACAATTTTCTTTTAATAACTTTTTCTTTTTTTGTTTGATTTTCTACATTTTACAATGGCCAAAAGGCAAGATGACCCAAATACAAACACTTAGTCCTGATGTTATCGGTCAGCCTTTGATGAAGACCTGACCAACCCTCATGTTGGAGTCATTCATGCTCAAACAAAGTTGCCCTACTAGCGCTGTATTTCTCGTGAACTCCGCCCACGCGCAGAGCTACACCTGCCCGCGAGCTCGAGCTCAGGTGAGACACTCGCGCGCGCCGCATTCCAAGCGCGTGAAGGCGAGCAGGAGGTCGCGTCGCGTCATGGCGGAGTCGCAGCTCATGTGTCTGGAGGACGGGCTCATGCCCACCGCGGTGCCCGAATCCCAACCTCGGTTCTACTACAGCGAGCAGCAACGCGCCGCCCTCGAGAAGCTCCTCGAGCACGGAGACGGCGCGTTCAAGACCCTCCTGAAGGACGAGAAGAGCCAAGACTTTCTGTCGGCGCGGGAGATCAAGACCATCACGAGCTCCTTCGTCAAATATCAGCGCGAGGACGACGATGGAGGGGCGTCGGAGAACCAAGCGAAACGCGACGCGAGCGGCTCGATGCGGTCCACATACTGGCCTCAGATGTCGGACACTGAGGTTCCTCCACTGGACCTCGGCTGGCCCTCATCAGGGCTCTTCAAAGGGGTCACCCGAGTGTCTGTGTACACACACCCGCCCAAAGAGAACAGCCCGCACATCAAGGAGGTGGTCCGCAAACTAATACAGGAATCATGCAAGGTCAGCCCTCATTATATTAAAGAAATATGCCTTATTTTGAAATATCATGTCATGTGACTCTGAACCAAAGTAAATCACTTTAGTTGCTACGGTAAATGATAACCCAGCGAACAGAGAACGTTCTGTCAAAGTTATGAACAAAGTTCTTCCAGTAACAAAAATTGATTGAAATGCTAGGGAGTAAGTCGCTTTGGATAAAAACGTCTGACAAATGCATAAATGTAAATGTAATAGAACGTTCTTTCAACGTTTTCTGGTCTTTTAATAATGTTCTGAAAACGTCAGCACAAAAACATCATTCATGGAATTTTTTATTTTTTTTTAATGTAGTTGAACGTCTTTTTTTTTTTAAACGGTGGTTCGCAAACTAATACAAGAATCCTAAGATCAGCGCTCATTATATTAAATAAATATGCCTATTTTGAAATATCATGTCATGTGACTCTAAACCAAGGTAAACCCTTAAATGATAACCCAGCGAACAGGGAACGATCTGTCAAAGTTATGAACAAACTTCTCCCAGTAACAATAATAGAACGTTCGTTCAACGTTTTCTGGTCTTTAATAACTTTCTGAAAACGTCAGCACAAAAACATCATTCATGGAACGTTTTTCTAAAACATTTTATTTGGAAGTCTAATGTTTTTTGTTTTTTTTTATGTTCACTGTAAAAAGTGTTCAGTTCACTTACTTAAATTTTTTTAGTAAAATAGTTGCCTTTAAAATTATTAAGTAAATAAATGTAATGCTTAATTTAAAAATGTGAACTTGACAATTCCACATTACTTAATTGTTTCGATTAAGCATGAAGTTTATTTAACTAATAATTTTAAGGCAACAGGTTTCCTCAATTATTTTTAAGTTAAGTCAACTGATCACTCCTTACAGTGTTAATACTTTTTAGATGCTAAAATCAAAAGTAACGTTCCCATAATACTTGCAAAATGATAAAATAGCCTAGAGAAAACTGTGATTACCGCGGTAAATAAGGGGATTCCTCGTCACTATGATCTTCACTTTCTCTTTTCACTCATTAGCCGACTCTGTAAATGTCAGGTAAAGTTGCACCTCATGTGGTTCACATCTAAATGAAGTGGTTTATTAATTAATAACTGATATTTAGGGGCCCGATCGTAAATGTCCTGAAGCTATAGCGATAACTCCGGAGGATTCCTGCTGGATGTTTTAAGATCTTGTTCAGACTTGATTTCTTCTGAGTTTCAGAGGAATGATCTGAACACTGAGTCACTGAGCAGGAAATGATGCGGCTGGTATTCTGCGTTCTGCCGTATTAAGATCTGACACACCCTTTAATAAAGAACTGATATGTCAGTGGAATAGATGTTCTTGTTTTGGTGATTTCTCAGGAACTTCACAGACGAGTCGCACCAGATTCCAGAGAGGGACTTTCTCTCGTGTTCAGAGATCATTCTGCTATCTTATCTGTCTTAACACATAAACAATAACCCATAAAGAGATAAAGATGCCCTTATTTCCTCCGTGTTGCATTTATTGTGGCTTTAGAAACAAAGTAAACTCTGTGAGCTGGCAGATCAGAAAACTGAGAGAGTGGGAAGGAGAAAGTGAAAGCTGTGGAAAAATTCTTCTGAACTGGGTGTGAATCAGCTTTACATTCACAGACAATAGTTTCAGTTTGTAGTTTAACTGAAATCCAGATCAACACACACTCTCACCCGCACACACTCTCTCTCACACACACACACACACACACACACACTCTCACTCGCACACACTCTCTCACACACACACACACTCTCACACATGCACTCTCACACACACTCTCACCTGCACACACTCTCTCTCACACACACACACACACTCAGACACACACACTCTCTCTCTCACACACACACACAGCCACACTCACACACACATGCACTTTCCCACACACTCAACATACGCACTCGCACACATTCTCACACACTCTCTCTCTTACACATACTCGTACAATCTCACATATACACACACACCCACTCACTCACTCACACACACACACACACAGACACACACACAGACACACACACCCACTCACTCACTCACACACACACACACACACACACACGCACACACACAGCCACACTCACACACACATGCACTTTCCCACACACTCAACATACGCACTCGCACACACTCTCACACACTCTCTCTCTTACACATACTCGTACAATTTCACATATACACACACACCCACCCACTCACTCACTCACTCACACACACACACACCCACACACACACACACACATCTGATCTGGAAACACACTCTTTATTCCTCTGGGCCGAGGCCATGAATTATATCAGATTGCAAAGACTTCTGAAGTCATATATATGATGTTTTGTGTGAGAAATGAACCAGAATTTAAGTCAATATTTACAAAAATCTCAAATGTCATTTTCATTCAGATTCAAAAATCATGTGTTACCAGCTAACAAAAATATATTCTAAGAAAATTTTTCTAACGTTCCTATTAAGATGAAAACAGCACTTCTGGATGTTCAAAATGTCCAGTAAAAAAAAAAAAAAAAAAAAAATTTAAATGTTTGTTCTTGGTTGTGTGAACGTTCAGGAAACATCCCATTCCGTCATTCTTCACATGGAACGTTACTTTTGAATGTTCTCTGAACGCTCTGAAACAAGTAGTTACATTTAAAAAACATTCAATGAACGATGTATAAATAATGTTTATGTGCAGATGTTTTGAGAACATTCTTACAGACGAGATAACTCGAACGAACGTTACAGGAAGGATGTTACGAATGTTCTATTAACGTTACAGGAAGAACGTTTGTTCATGACTCTGACTGAACGTTCCCTGTTCGCTGGGATGAGGACGGTCGTTTTGGACAAACACACTTTTCTTTCCTATAACGTCACATTTAAACCCAAAATTTCACAGGAAACACTGAAGCTTGTTCTATAATGGGGCTTCGGGTCCGACACACACATCAGGATAGTCTAGTCAGAGGCAGATGATGTCACGACTGTTCCTGGTTCATTTACCGTGCCGTATCACTGCAGACGTGTGTGTGTGTGTGTGTGTGTGTGTGTGTGTGTGTGTGTGTGTGTGTGTGTGTGTGTGTGTGCAGGTCGTGGCGATCGTGATGGACCTGCTGACCGACCTGCAGATCCTGCGGGATCTGTTCGAGGCGTCCAAGCGCGGCGTTCCCGTGTACATCGTGCTGGACGAGCTGGGAACGCCGCACTTCCTCGACATGTGCAACCGGATGCAGGTCGGAGTGAAGGAGCTGCAGGTACAGGACCTGTTCCCAGATCAGCCGCAGATACAGACACTTTACTGATGCTTATCCTCGCTTACAAGCGTCCACTCTGTCTCTATTGTGTTTTACACACACACACACACACACACACAAATCAAATGTTAAAAATAAAAATAAAAAAGTATTTAGTCTTCACTGCATGAATTAAATATAAATTGATTCATATTAAAAATAAAAAAAGTGATTCAGTCAAAAGCAGTGAGTATTTTTTTTTTATTAACATTAATGAAACGGATGGCAACAGTTTATGAGGCTGCTGTCCCTTTAAGAAGGAATGCACAAATGTAGTTACACATCCGACTTTCTCCCGTTTGTCTCCGTTCGCGTAGGACATAACACACTCTGTTTACATTGAATATTGAACGTCAATAACCTTAAGTATACTGTGAAGTGTAACACTTTAGAAAATCGATTTTTGAAATTTGTGAATCGATACAAATTGGTAGAAGATAGAATCGCGATTCATATATGAATGGAGTTGTTCGTTCTGGTTTCACGGTGACTGTAATGGCTGGTGTTTCCTCAGAACGTCCGGACCCGGAGCGTAAAGGCTGTCGGCCTGAACCTGTCGTTGGGGAGAATCCCGGGAAACGTCCACAGCAAGTACATGCTCATCGACGGAGATAAAGTCATGTTCGGAACGTACAGGTGAGCGTGTGTGTATACTCTCCTAATAATGTGTGTGGTCTCTGATATTGATTGCTGTGTGTGTGTGTGTGTGTGTACCTACTTATATTTTGGGGACAAGTTTTTACCTAGAAGTGACCAAAACCAGAATAAACCCGACAGGGAGATCAGCATCAGGTCTTCATCAGCCCGACACACACACACACACCTGAAGGGGTTTATTCTGAGATCTCTCACACACACACACCCAAAGGGGGTTTATTCTGAGATCACACACACACACACACACACACACACCTACACCTGAAGGGGTTTATTCTGAGATCACACACACACCTACACCTGAAGGGGTTTATTCTGAGATCACACACACACACACACACACACACATCTACACCTGAAGGGGTTTATTCTGAGATCACACACACACACACACACACACACCTACACCTGAAGGGGTTTATTCTGAGATCACACACACACACCTACACCTGAAGGGGTTTATTCTGAGATCTCTCACACACACACACCCAAAGGGGGTTTATTCTGAGATCACACACACGCACACACACACACACATCTACACCTGAAGGGGTTTATTCTGAGATCACACACACAGCTACACCTGAAGGGGTTTATTCTGAGATCACACACACACACACACACACACACACACCTGAAGGGGGTTTATTCTGAGATCACACACACACACACACACACACCTACACCTGAAGGGGTTTATTCTGAGATCACACACACACACCTACACCTGAAGGGGTTTATTCTGAGATCTCTCACACACACACACCCAAAGGGGGTTTATTCTGAGATCACACACACACACACACACACACACCTACACCTGAAGGGGTTTATTCTGAGATCACACACACACACCTACACCTGAAGGGGTTTATTCTGAGATCACACACACACACACACACACACACATCTACACCTGAAGGGGTTTATTCTGAGATCACACACACACACACACACACACACCTACACCTGAAGGGGTTTATTCTGAGATCACACACACACACCTACACCTGAAGGGGTTTATTCTGAGATCACACACACACACACACACACACACATCTACACCTGAAGGGGTTTATTCTGAGATCACACACACAGCTACACCTGAAGGGGTTTATTCTGAGATCACACACACACACACACACACACACACACCTGAAGGGGGTTTATTCTGAGATCACACACACACACCTGAAGGGGGTTTATTCTGAGATCCCACACACACACCTGATGGGGGTTTATTCTGAGATCTCAAACACACACACACTCTCTCCCTGAAGGGGTTTATTCTGAGATCACACACACACACACACACACACACACACTCTCACCTGAAGGGGTTTATTCTGAGATCACACACACACACACACACACACACTCTCACCTGAAGGGGTTTATTCTGAGATCTCTCACACACACACACACACCTGAAGGGGGTTTATTCTGAAAACTCAAACACACACACACACACACACACACACACACACACACACACTCTCTCACCTGAAGTGGTTTATTCTGACCAATCATAATCAAGCATTCCACAGAGCCGTGTAATAAGATAATAATAATGTCTGTTGTATCTGATATTGATTGCTGTGTGTGTGTGTGTGTGTGTGTGTGTGTGTGTGTGTGTGTGTGTGTGTGTGTGTGTGTGTGTGTGTGAATCCTGCAGCTTCTCCTGGACCTCTTCCCGCATGGACAGGAACATGATCACGGTGATGTCCGGACAGGTGCTGGATTTCTACGATAACGATTTCCGAGAACTTTACGCCGTGTCGGACAAACTGGACCTCTTTAAGGAGTTCCACCTCAATAAGCCTCAAACGAACACCTTGTCCCGCGCCGCCGTTCCCAAACGCCCCGTAGCCGCCACTTCCCGATTCCAGGTGAACCTCGGAGACGTCAAAGTCCCGGCACACAAATACCACAACCCGAAGTACCTGTTATCGCTGGGACAGATCCCGGGACCCACGGCGCCGATGCAGGACTTCTTAAACACCATGGATCCGCCCGATCCCGAGAATCCCACGGAAGAGCTGGAGAACCTCATGCCCATTCCCTCCGAGACCGGGAAGAAAAAGTCGTGCAAGAAAACCAAAACACTGTCATTGAAGTCGAAGGGGTCGTGGTGGAGGAGACAGAAGAAGGAGGCGAGTGAAGCTGTGATTGAGGAAAACACACCAGACGACGCGTCCAAACACACACTCCCCGCGGATCAGAGCTCGGAGGACACCAAACACACACTCCCCGCGGATCAAAGCTCGGAGGACACCGGGAAAAAGAAGAAGAGAGGACTGATGAGCATTTTTAAAAAAGCAAAATGAGGATTATCCTTTAAATGAGCCGCTGTTTTTACCAGTGCATCTGTGCCGTGTTTACAGACTGACCTCACTTTAGACTTTCTGTGTGTGTGTGTGTGTGTGTGTGTGTGTGTGTGTGTGTGTGTGTGTGTGTGTGTGTGTGTGTGTGTGTGTGTGTGTGTGTGATATGATCAGTGTTTACGGGTGTAACGATATCCTCATATCACGATACTGAACTCACGATACGATATTATTGCAATACTTCAAGACATATGGTAAAAGGTTAACAAAAAGATGTACTGTTGATTAAAATGCTGTATTTAGTATTATTATGGGTGTAAATGAATAGTCTTGGACTTGGTGCTGGAAACCCAACGCAGGACAATAAAGACACCAGAATAAAAAATATTCATGGTTCTGAAGCTGAAAATACAGAATTATTTAATTTTAGATTAATATGCTTTACTCTGACTAGATATATTTAAAATATTGTAAGCCACTTTTTACTGGTAACAAGACATTTGGCATATTCCCTCACAAATATTCCCCCATTGCATTATTATACATTATATTCAACATTATATTGTAGTACTGACACTAAAACTCTGTAAACTTGAATTTTTTCACAGTCATTTTTATTTTGGGTGAACTATTCACGACACATATCACTATCCACAATATACACTCACCTAAAGGATTATTACGAACACCTGTTCAATTTCTCATTAATGGAATGATCTAATCAACCAATCACATGGCAGTTGCTTCAATGCATTTAGGGGTGTGGTCCTGGTCAAGACAATCTCCTGAACTCCAAACTGAATGTCAGAATGGGAAAGAAAGGTGATTTAAGCAATTTTGAGCGTGGCATGGTTGTTGGTGCCAGACGGGCCGGTCTGAGTATTTCACAATCTGCTCAGTTACTGGGATTTTCACGCACAACCATTTCTAGGGTTTACAAAGAATGGTGTGAAAAGGGAAAAACATCCAGTATGCGGCAGTTCTGTGGGCGAAAATGCCTTGTTGATGCCAGAGGTCAGAGGAGAATGGGCCGACTGATTCAAGCTGATAGAAGAGCAACTTTGACTGAAATAACCACTCGTTACAACCGAGGTATGCAGCAAAGCATTTGTGAAGCCACAACACGCACAACCTTGAGGCGGATGGGCTACAACAGCAGAAGACCCCACCGGGTACCACTCATCTCCACTACAAATAGGAAAAAGAGGCTACAATTTGCAAGAGCTCACCAAAATTGGACAGTTGAAGACTGGAAAAATGTTGCCTGGTCTGATGAGTCTCGATTTCTGTTGAGACATTCAGATGGTAGAGTCAGAATTTGGCGTAAACAGAATGAGAACATGGATCCATCATGCCTTGTTACCACTGTGCAGGCTGGTGGTGGTGGTGTAATGGTGTGGGGGATGTTTTCTTGGCACACTTTAGGCCCCTTAGTGCCAATTGGGTATCGTTTAAATGCCACGGCCTACCTGAGCATTGTTTCTGACCATGTCCATCCCTTTATGGCCACCATGTCCCCATCCTCTGATGGCTACTTCCACCATGTCACAAAGCTCGAATAATTTCAAATTGGTTTCTTGAACATGACAATGAGTTCACTGTACTAAAATGGCCCCCACAGTCACCAGATCTCAACCCAATAGAGCATCTTTGGGATGTGGTGGAACGGGAGCTTCGTGCCCTGGATGTGCATCCCACAAATCTCCATCAACTGCAAGATGCTATCCTATCAATATGGGCCAACATTTCTAAAGAATGCTTTCAGCACCTTGTTGAATCAATGCCACATAGAATTAAGGCAGTTCTGAAGGCGAAAGGGGGTCAAACACAGTATTAGTATGGTGTTCCTAATAATCCTTTAGGTGAGTGTATGTTCCAAATGCTTTGGTTTTAGTTAGTTATTTGATGCTATAAAAACAGGGTATACGCGATGATTGACAGCTGTGTGGGCGGGACCTTTGATACCATGACTCCGCCTCTGAAACGCTACTGCGCAGACTCGGGCTCCAAATGACATCAAAAAAAAAAATCGGAGCAAGATGTCAACTGATATTTTGGCTTCATTTTTTGATAGTGGAAGAAAGTGGAGACACATCGTCCATCTTTTGTTCTACAGTCCACAGGATGATAACATTTTTGGGTCCGTGTCATTTAATGAAAACCATTGGCTTGAACCACACGCAAACCTCGCCCACTAAAGTCAAATCAGCCAACCCAATGGCAGATGAACCATGTACGAAATGATTGACAGGCAAAGAAACTCACTCAAAATAGTTTTTGATTGACTTAAAAAGTTCCCAGGATGACTTGAATGCACCATTATACCTCACTGCTATTGGCCAGGTATAGACTAACAAACAGCTTACAGCAGCTTTCATAAGAGGAATGCCTTGTCCAAATACACACACTGCGGTCTTGGCCACTTGAGAGTGTGTGCATGCATCAGGAATTAAGTGTGCAAGACTGTCCCATGTCTTAAAAGTGCAGTGCCCTTAATGCACACTAAACCCACAATGCGCTAAGCGTATCCCATCATGCATTATGTTTGGGAACTCGTGTGCCCCGAAATCGCGAGATGTCGAGGAAAACATTCCACTGTATTTTAAATTAATTGGATCGGATGCATATAATTTGGTAGTAAAAACAAAGTGTTGCACATTTTATTTGTGCAAAGATGTGTAGGCCTTTTCTGTACAACATTCGCAATTGTTTTTATCACTTAGAAGCACCACAATTTTAAATTTGTGTGTTAGTTACATAGCGACTACTGAACAGACATGTAGAAGTTTATTTTAAAATGCACAGTATTGAAAATATAATAAATAAAAGCTCTGTGAACACTTGCATTTTTGTAAGACTATAAGCGTGTCCCATCGAGTAATCAAATGTTTTACACACACTTTGCAGTCTTAACGCCTACTTGAACACTTGGGTCAAAAAGGGGAAATTATATCATGCAAGTAGACAAGAGCAAAGACCGCAGTGTGTGTGTGTGTGTGTGTGTGTGTGTGTGTGTGTGTGTGTGTGTGTGGACAAGGCAACAGTGCTGTATACACGGGCTCGGGCGCCCTCTGATGGCGGATCTGAGTATTTAGTGCATCATTTCAGACTCAGGATAAAGCATAGGCACGGACAATAGCATCTCACAAACTTCACAAGAGCACATGACGTGCGTAATTTGAGCCACGACCAGAAATGCACTTCCGCTTCTATTCAGTGTGACAATTTTTGGCCGGATATGTGTGTGTGTGTGTGTGTCAGTGCCAGTTTTCTGTGACCACAAAAAGGATTGGTGAATTTACTGCAACAGCTCTAAACAGGAAGTGAACACATATAAGATGCATATAATAAGATATGCTATGCAACCATTAAATAATGTCCAGTCTGTCAATGATAGCTTCAGTTTACCGTCCGTTACAGAGACTTGAACGCGTTTCAGGCCTCAGATGCTCCTCATGATGATGATGATGATGATGAAGGAGAAACTCCTCATGTGTTGCTGGTTAGAGGTGATTGGGGTCATTAGCACCACAGATCAGCATGAATCTGCCACCGGACCTGCATGAAACCACCAGCAGACCCACATGTTCATGTTCCGATGGAGGAAGTGAAAGCGATGAGGTCATATCTCGTTTCCCTGTTGCGTGAACAAACGCCAGCGCGGGTTCATCCTGTCCTTCAGATGCTGGAAGATTCTCTTCCCGTTTGATTTCTCTTCTGACACACACTGATCTTCTACATGCACTTCCTCTAAAACTCTATGAGATCACGTTTAAGACTTTCATCAGTCCAAGATCTGATCGAGTGTGTGCGGTATGAGTGGTGTGTGTGAGAGAGTGTGTTTGAGCGGTAAGTGTGTTCGAGTGGTGTGTGAGAGAAAGTGTGTGTATGTGTTGTGTATAAATGACACTGTGTTGAGTGTGAGAATAACCCTGAGCTTCTTCTTCTAAAACTCTATGAGATCACGTTTCAGACTTTCATCAGTCCAAGATCTGATCGAGTGTGTCTGTGTGTGAGGTGGTGTGTGCTGTACCAGTGGTGTGTGTGAGTGAGTGTTTGAGCGGTGTGTGTG